TACTACATATTATTATTTTTATATATATCTTTATTTTTTATTTTTAATTATTGAACTCTTAAGTTTAGGAGGTACAAAGAAAATGTAAACATTAAAATATTTTCAGGTAGATTGAAATGTTAGCGATGGATCTGTGATTTTCACCTGCTAAGGCAGTGACCAAGAAAATATTATGACATCCTCATACTGAGACATAAAGGAGCTTTTCTCTGCAAAGCAGAGGGAGTGACACTGTGGTAGGCTTCAACGTAGTAAAGTTTGACGCAGTACAATTTAGAAACATACCCCCCCTCCTCCTTTTGACTTTTCTGTGTCTAATGACAGAAGAACAGAGAGGAGAGGAGAGAAGCAGAGACAAGGACAAAGTGTGTTTGTAGTTTGAAGTAGTTTCAGAGTATCAAGCAGTGAAAGCAGAAGGCAGAGGAAGAAGGGGTTGATGAATGGAGGGGGGCTAAGCAAAACAGAGAGGTCTGTTGTTAGTGGACAGAGAGCAGACTCAGCTCTCATGGCAGGATGATTAAAAACAAGGAGACACTTGAAGCTAGAGGGTGAGAAAACACGGTGTGTGGATGCTGATGATGGTCAGAGAGAGGAGTAGAAACAGCCAGTTTGTTGTCATTAGTAAAGCGGAATTAAACCTGCTTATTGTGATGAGATAGATTTGATTCAGTTTTTTTCTAGCTCACAAAAATGATTTTGGTGTTACCAAGGTTGGTAGCATGATCATGATGTTTATGCCCTATGAAACTATTCAAAAAAAACATATTAACCAGTATCCAGTAGTGCAGTACATCATGCTCTGTGTTTATGTCCTGTGTGATCTCTTATCTTCAGTCTTTAAAGTAAATTTATACACAGGAGAAGTTTCTTGTTATCCTGACCTGAGCTGTTTAACTGTTCATGATGAACGTAAATAAACAGAGAAAAAATAAAAGGGCCTGGAAGAGTTTTTTTTTTTTTAGATTTTTAAAACATTTAATGTCACAGGAAAACGTCACACATGGAGTCTGTTCATTTGATAGGACACGTGTCTCTTACTGTTAGTCTGGGAGCATATTCATCGGTTGTTTGCAGGTTAACAGCCCTGAGGCCTAGAGGAAGGTTTCTGTGATTCAGATTTGTGATGAACAAAACAAACCTGTCATGAACAAGTAGAAGCTTTCGTTCTCCTTTTTTGTAACTTCCTTATCTCTTATTCTTTTTATCCCCATTCTTGGTGAAGTAGTTCTTGACGTTGAAGATCAAGGTCTAATGTTTAGCCAGTTGTGTGACATCTTTTTTTAACAAAAGCTCTATTCAGACAGCTCAATGTTTATGCCCCTGGGTTTTCTTTTGTGACTTTCCTTTAATATGAATGTTACAGAGGCATAATGGGATCCCCCATTCTCTCTCCCCACTTGGATAGCTGTCCTATCAAATAAAGAAAAAAGACAGAAAAATATCTGTAAAGAAAATGTATACTGTTATAATAATAATAATAATGAAGAAGAGATTTAGTTTTTAAAGCACTTTACATTTTAAGCTAATCTAAAAGTGCTACAGAGTAAAAACAACAACAGGAGCATAAAACATAGGAAGAAAAAGTAAATGAAGCTACATCAAAAGATGAAGTCACTATTAAGAGTTTCAACAGTTTGTCACTTGTAGTTGTGTACAAAATTCAAAGAATTTATTCAAACTCAGCACTTTATTCAGTGAAATACTATTTATGTCATAGTTTAAACCACAGCGCTGTTGTTTTGCCACCTTCAACAACAAAAAATGAACTTCCTTTGTTAAAGTGTTTAGCAGATAAAATCACGCTGAGCAGCTCACAGTTCAGATTGAACAAAGCACAACATGTAAGGCAGATACTGTTTTGATAAATGAGCAGAAGTTAGCACACCTCATGCCGATGCAAGACACAGCATGACCTGCCTGGAAGTCATTTGTGTGCGTGTGTGTGTGTGCGCGCGTGTGTGTGTGTGTGTGTGTCACATAGACTGCAGATTTAGTTGCTGCTCACTCAGGCATCTCCCACTGATGATATCACTGATGTGACTCAACCACTGCTTCTGCTTTGCTTGTCTACTTCCTCCTTTTTGTTCCTTGGATTGGTTCACTACCAGTACACAGTGTGGGTTTCAAACTGGGCCAGCAGTAGAAGGTGTGTGTGTGTGTGTGTGTGTGTGTGTGTGTGTGTGTGTGTGTGTGTGTGTGTGTGTGTGTGTGTGTGTGTGTGTGTGTGTGTGTGTGTGTGTGTGTGTGTGTGTGTGTGTGTGTGTGTGTGTGTGTGTGTGTGTGTGTGTGTGTGTGTGTGTGTGTGTGTGTGTGTGTGTGTGTGTGTGTGTGTGTTGTCAGACAAAGAATTGAGTCCTTCTTGTTGATGACGTTATCACTTTGTAACACAATACTTTCATCATACATGAACAATACCACAAAAACTCAAACTATCTCAGACTTATACTTGGTTCTTGTTATTTCTCTGTGTGTTACGGTTGTATTTATTTGCATAGAGGAAGTCGTCCTCGGAAGTAGCCTGGGAAATGTCGATGAATCTTTGAAGACTTCAGATACTTTCAAAGTAGAAACTAAAGTAAGAAAAAACCTGTTTGCAGCTTTGACTTTTGATCTGTTTTATTTTGACTTGCAGCAGGACAATTCTCCAGGGTTCAGTCTGCCTTACTGCATCTGATGAGTTATTTTGTACGGGATGAGACAGCAGCTTCCTTTGTGTAATCACCTTTAGTTGCAGTCTTGATGTTGCAACAGCTATCGGTAAAAGGCTGCACAGTGAAACACAATAGAGGTCATCAGGATGCTGAAAGGCAGCATTGAAAAGGTTCACTGATACTTTTGTAACATGTTGTGCAATGAGATGCAATAGTTGCAGGTTTTGCACTGTTTTGCTGATGCTTTTGTTTAAACTTTGATCGTTGTTACATGCTGGATTAAGGTTGTCAAAGTTTTACATACTTCAGAACTTCTTCTGTAATGATCGTTGGCATCATAAACTACCTGAGCTTTTAAAACTACAGATTTTCAGACATATTTTCAACCAAAAGTTGCCGCCTTAAAGGTCCCATATTATACCTTTACTGGTTTTATATGCTCTTTAGTGTGTTTTCCAAGTGTCCTGTGCATGTTTAGGCACATCTATTTGCATAAACGCGGCTTCTCCTACGTCCTCCTGTTAGCTGTAGCATTAGCTGCATGTAACGCGGTTCTAGCCCCCCTTGAAAAATTTTTGCCAGTGTGACGCCTTGTCAGTGTGACATCACTGATCTAAGCCCATTGGCTCGTTGTGGCAAGCCCAGCAGCTCATGTTGCACGCCCATTAACTAAGGTGCTAATGTATTTGCTACCCTCGGACGGAGCCAGTGGCTGCATTCCCAATATGGTAAAAGGGGGCGGGACATTTCTGAGAACCGTGCTGAGTGACTGACCAATTACGGAGCTGACAGGCCGACCAATCAGATCAGACTGAGCGCAGCCTTAGAGAGAGAGTCAGAAGCGAGCCAGTGCATGGAGCGGCAGTACATGAAAACAGACACTTTTTTATAACTTCAGCTATTTTGAGCATACTTTAGTATGTAGATTAAATATACAAACCCCAAAAAGGGCATAATATGACCTCTTTAAAGCTGTACTCATGCTAGGAAATCCATACCGTGCTCAAACATGTTTGACCCCCAAAGTCCAGTTTGTTTGACTAGTGTTAGTGATCCATACCACGCTCGAGCACGGTACACTTCCTTGGTCCTGGTTTGTTTGGAAAAGGTGTGTTAATGGAGCGATCAGAGGGATGGGGCTGCACACAGTGGGTGCCCCTGTGCGGTCAGGAGTTTGTTACCTTGCTCAAGGGCATCTCAGCAGTACTCAGGAAGTAAACTGGCTCCACCTGGCTACCAGACCAATTTCTATACTTTGGTCCGTTCAGTTACCGTACCAGAAGTGCCTAATGACTGAGCTACTGCTGCCCCAAACTGGCATCAGTAATGTGTCAGGCTGCTTAAATGGTCATGGAAATCCTCTGTATTACTCATGGAAAGAGTTTTCATGGAAAAGGATTTTTTGTCTGAGCAAGAGTCCTGACTTACATTACATCCTTTCTAGGCTGTCCTCATTCAACCCGTAGTGTCTGCTTATCAGCAGGGCCCACATGGAGTAAAAAAAAAAAAAAAGAAAAACAGAACATCTGCACCACAAAATGAGGAGTAAACGTCTTGTTTGGATTGAGAATTATTGCATTTACTTTCAGAAGGTATCAGATTTTACATAGTGGCTAAGGCCTCAATCTTATGGTAAATGTTCAGGAATCCAAGAGCAACAAAGCTTTTCTCCGTTTTATTCTGTTTTCCTTTCTGCTTTTCTTTTCCTTTAGACCGGCTGTGAGGTTTAAAAACGAGTGTTTACATAGATTACATAAAGTACATTCACAGCCAAGTAACACACAGTCTCAATTTATTGCATTTCCTAAATAAAGTTTATGAACGGCTATAACTGTGTACAATCTCTCACTAGAAAGGAAACTTTTTCAACTTTAAAATGAACTGCTATATTTGAGTCTTGGATCCAAGTGGGATTTCAGCCAGAGGCACACAGTGTGTTAGAAGGGAAAGTGAGGCAGAGCTTGGCCTCTGTCGTCCGGTCTACTACTATGGAACTACAATTGTTGTTAGAATTGAGTTGATATTAAAAGATGCAGAGTTAGTGTGACCCTAAATTTATTTAACCGCAATCAATCAGCAGAACTGCCTGTGTCCTACTCCCTATTCCTGACATACCAAGAAGATGAAAGACACTGACTGAGCCTTTTCCAGAAAATAATAAATGTCATTTTGCCTCACAAGTAAAAATCCGACTTCAGTTTAGGAGACCACGAACAACAGGTCAAATGACCGATCTCGATGATTTTAAAGCTTCTAATATATAGCCATACTTTACTCTTTTATCATGCATTTACAAAGTGTTTTGTTACAATTATACAAGTTTTGATCTCCTGCTTGCTATCACTCCAGGTTCCCGAGATCATCAGTACGTTGAGGCAGGCTGGCAAGAGCTCTGCACGCAGCGATGACATCACCAGCATTTCCAACAAAACTTCCACTGGAGGCCGTGATCCCTCTGAAACAAGCTTCTCTTCTCACTCTACAAAGACAACCTCTGTGGCACCACCTTGTGTCGTTTCTCCATCAACATTCTCCAAGAAGTTTGAGGTGCTGTTCTGCGGCCGTGTGAGTGTTGCTCACAAGAAAGCCCCTCCTGCCCTTATTGACGAATGCATCGAGAAGTTTAGCCAGTTGCATGGCTCAGGGACGGCTGATAAAGGAGAAGATAGAGAGAGATTGGTGGGTGGGCTGAGGAGGGCTCTAGCCCAGCAATCCAATGGACTTGGGAGTGGTCCAGTTGGGAATAATGCTGCAGGGAGCCCGACCACAGGGAAGCGTCCTGTCCTGTTTAAAAAAGACCCCAGCTTTCCCTGTCTGCAGGCCCTGGATGAGAATGGACTTTCACCCGAGATCTCCAACAACAACACTATTGATGCACACGCCCACTCTGCTGGAGTACAGCCCACCAGCCTGCAGGAGAACAGGACCATGCTGTTTACGGTACGGACTTTCATGAGTGTACATGCACACAGCCCTGATAATAACTCTGCTTCAATTTTTAGTTCTCTGTATTTACACTGCAAAAAAACTCAAATTGTGCCAAGTGTCACTCTCATCTATTATCTCACTCTCAGAATATCTCATTACACCTACTGTAAGCCATATTCATCTGACAAGTCAAAGTGTAACACCTTCATGTAGAAATTACAAGATTGCAAGATTATTTATTTTGTATTGATGTGAAGAGATTATAACAGATAGACTGCAAAAAAACAACTCTTATTTAAGTCAAAATATCTCATTTAATTTAATATAAGCCAACATTTTCCTGACAACTCCAGGTATAACATATTTCGCCAAAATATACGTAACTAGAATAAAATGAGGCCTTAATTGCTTTTTGAAGTAAAAATCTTCCAGTGCAGCAAGAAAAAAAATGTTATGAATCAATACTGCATGACATGAATCTCTAATTTCATTAACTTAAAATGTAAATTTGTCCTGCTGCACTGAAAGCAAATATGAATTATTACATGCAACATATGGTTAATTTTTGGCCTGTTATATTCAGAAAAACATATGACTTGTCAGGTGAATGTAATGAGATATTTGGACTCGAAATGAAGACAAATACAGCTGGTAAGACACATTTTTTCAGTTCAACAGTTATGATCTCATTATGATCAATTCTTAATAAGAGAAACTGAAAAATGTTTTTCTCTGATGAACCCTGTGACAGTGGTAAAATAGTTCTGAGTTTTGCAGCAGTCTTCTTTCTCTGTATATGCAGAGACAGTCGAGGATAGGCTTTGTCTTTTACATTTATTATGTGTCTTATATTTAAAGCTGCAGAGAGAGATGCTTTTCTTAGCATGAAGGAGGGGACTATTGAAATATTTATGGTTAACTATTTCAGATTGAACAGCATTGCTACTCATTAAGGCGCACTACTCATTATTCATTATTTAAAAAGCCCACGACTTTCAGAGGAAATTCTTGAGTGTGAGTTCTTTCAATTCATCCATATTCATATCGGTTCACTTCTTTGCGATAAGAAAAGTACTCAGCAGTGCAGTATCATTTTTGATCCCTGAAATAACAAGTCCTCATTCACAGTTTCTCATGAAGGACTCAGAGGGGGGAGAACAAAAGCGAGGCAAAGATAAAAATCCCCCAAATGACTCAGCAAGAGCAGATGCTGACTGCTGCTCAAAGTGAGCTCAAGTCCCGCTCCCCTTCATTCACCTTTCATCTGACCTCTGGGACCTCCTGCCATGAGGACGTTTCCTGTTTGTCACCCACACAGGAAATGGTGACCACTGGCACAGGAATCGCTGGGGTCTGTCTCTGCTCCTCTCAGCAAATACAGAAATGTTGTTGACATTGATGATACATCCTGCTGCTGAAATGAATAGTCGACAAAATAACCTCATCCCCGTGACATCATCCCTTAAATGTGTCAGAAAAAATTAAATCCCCATAGTGCTCACAGAACTTGAAGACAGGGATTTAAAGGATGTGAGATCCTTGATTTATTGAGAATCCCATGTTGAGGTTAAGCAGTGATAGTGACTCATGCTCTAATGTTAGTTTGAACGGGGTTATCCCATTAAGGGGAACGGTACTAAAATTAACCGGTACTTTTTGAAAAGAGAGGAATTGAAACTGCAACTTGAGAACGAAGTCGACCATTCAGACTGTCTTGCCATTAGATATATTTTTTACAGTATAAATGACAAAACATAGGTCAATGCTGATTTTCTTTGTGAAAAAGTAGAACCTGGATCATAATGAGTTAATGCTGTGGGCTTCTCATTGCTGTCTCTACAACACCACAAAATCCTCACCACACAAACTGACCAAAGCACTCATTTAAAACTTCAAGCCTGTGAGTCCACCTGCACATACAGAGTCTAAGAACTTTGTGTTTGTTTTTGTTTAAGGTGGGGAGGTCTCAGATCTTTTTGGTCAGTCCAGACACGAAGAAGGTCGCGATAGAGAAGAGTTTCAGAGAAATCTCCTTCTGCTCACAGGTATGAGACTTCAAGTTTCTACCCCTACATGTCTGTTAAGTTTTTGTTTTTGTTTTTTGGCCCCTTCTAAATCCAAAAAAAACCTCCCAATCCCTTCTCTCCAGGGTATTCGTCACGTGGATCACTTTGGCCTCATTTGCAGGGAGACAGTGGAAGGAGGCAGCTGCCACTTTGTTTGCTATGTGTTCCAGTGCACCGACGAATCACTGGTGAGAGACACAGAGAGAAGCGGAGAACAGGGAATAAATGCACTTATGTGAAGAAAACACCAGAATACATTTTCATTTTTTTCTCTGCCTCTATCCAGTTAGCCGTTCCAGATAAACATTTCTGTTAGTACAGTTCATTAACTTAATTTATCCTTTATAATCACATCTAGACATTCATGTTTATACAGTGCACACATACAGGGGGAGACAGCCGGGCCCTTACCAGACTATGAGCTCCCTTCTTCAGCCTTCATTCTCTCGTTCCAGCCCCTCTTCCGCCCTGGAGGTGTGGACTTTGTGAAATTTTGTTGAGAACCAGAGGATGACAGGGGGAGATTATTAAAGTATGTGTATAACTTAAAAGTAAATTTTCTTATAATTTTATGTTCTCAACAGTACATTTAGATTATTTTTCCAATATATTTTTGGGGGCATTTTTGCCTTTATTTGAATAGTACAGCTGAAGAAAGGGGGTAAACGTTGGGAGGAGAGAGAGGGGGATGACATGCAACAAAGGGCCGAGGTCTTATTCAAACCCACGGCCACTGCAACAAGACTAAAGCCTCTGTACATGAGGTGCGCAAATAGACCTTCATTCTGTTGAACTTTTTGTATTCTTACAATTTCTATACTGGACGATATTGAATAAGTGCAAAGACCCTGATTTCCCACATTCATTGACATGGAGATGAGTTTTTCTAATCTGTGTCCTCTGTATTGGAATACAGTTTGTAAATGCCATATGATGATATTGACAGAAACAATTCAGAAGTATTGTGTTTTACTCTTACAGGTGGATGAGATCATGTTGACCTTGAAGCAGGCGTTCTCTGTGGCAGCGCTGCAGCAGAATGCAAAGACCCAGAGCCAGCAGTGTGACAGCTGCCCCATGCAGCAGCTCCACAGGCTGTGTGAGAGGATAGAAGGTACAGTAAGAAACCTGCCCTGGGCACCTTGACATTACAGGTCAAAAACCAAGGACCATTACAGACTTGAATTAGTTAAATGTTTTTCTGCTTAGACATCACACTTCTGCAAGTGTACTATTCAGATTTATACACCAGGAGGATCATGATAAAGATGTTAAATTCTGCATTCTTCTCTCTATTAAACATTTTTAAAGCAAGTTGACACTCGATGTGAATTTGCTGGATACTGATATTTTCATTTAATGTTACAAAGTCTGCTTTCTGTACAGGGTAAATGGACTTGAGCTTGTATAGCTCTTTTCTAGTCTTCTGACTGCTCAAAGCGTTTTTACACTGCAGGTCACACCGACACATTCACACACTGATGGTAGAGGTTTTAAAGTAAAGTGACCATCAGAAGTAACTATTACCATTTATACACATTCATACACCGCTGTGACAGAGCATACTTGTGTGTTGAAGTACTCAAGTTAAATTGCAAGTTCAGATTGCTGCTGTGTTTACCACGTTGCCCAAAATTACACATACATATATTAAGTAGTTACACAGTGTATGTATATGTGAGATGTAACTGTCTGTTGGCTACATTTCTTTTAGGGCTACATCCATCTAAAACCAAGCTGGAGCTTCAGCGGCACTTGGCCACTCTGGACAACCAGGAGCAGGCTGCAGTGTTTGAAAGCACCATGGTAATGTCATGAGTCTTCTCTTTTCTGTCGTTAGCACCCTCAGGGCTATGTGTGAATTCTTAGAGTTCACTTAGAGATCACTGCAGATGGAAACAAACCAGTCAGTCTGTGATTATAGCAAGCTGAACATGACTGAATCACTGCAGAATCATGAGTTTTTCATGTGGGACTTGTGTTGACGCACTGATCTGTCTGCATTCATAACCCTTTAATACATTTCACATTTCTGCCAACTCATCTCTCTGCTCCCTCTGGTGATGAACTGCATCCTGCTCTTTATTACTTTGTCTGCACTTCAGTCTCTTTCTGTATAACACAAGTGGATTAGCTTGTGGGAGTCAAACTATTTAACTTTTAACAATGGATCACTTATTAATGGAGCAATGTTAATACAGATTGTTGTTCACTTAAAGGAAGGGTCCTTAAAGTCGATTGCCCTCAAATATGTCCTCAAGACTCTGCTGGCCTCTGCAGGTGATGTTGCTGAACTGCAAATCTATAACGGTGCCGAATGGTTGCCTATCTAAACATAATAACAGAATTTCAAAGCTTTACTTTTGTTAGTTTTGAAACAATAGTTTTGATCATTAAAGAGTAAGAATCTGGGTGTACTCATTGTTCAACCAATCATCACATATAACTGTTTTAGTCTTCTGACTGTTGAAGGATGATCTTCATTCAGCTTGTCTGAAATGTACGCACCCTGTAGCAAAAAGTACAGCTCAGAGCTGGTTATGAAACAGACTCAAATCAATACTGATGCCTCTTTATGAGCTAGATATTCAGAGACATGACTGATTATTTCTTTATCGCTATTTTTAATGCCTGTTTCTGCTGTTGCAGGGTAGATGTCAGATGAGGTGATTTACACCAGGCTACTGAAGCAGCCTTTGTTTACATTTCCTCTGGCAAAGATTCACAGTTAGTGGGAGGGTTGACTGTTAAAAATAAGCAGGAAGAACCCTAACCCTCTTAAAACACTTCTTAGGCAATGGAGAGACCAACATAAGAATTAGAGCTACCACGTTGTCAACAGGGGACGTCAGGGTTGACAGAAACCGAAAGTTCCTCAATGGACCTTTAAAAAAAAAAAAATCTAATTTGGACCATTTTCAAGTCAACATTATCATATCTCACTTATTTGTCAAGGTGAAAAAACAACCTGTGTATTTTGTGTCTTTATTTCAGAGGGCCCGTCCTAAGAGCGATCAGGAAGAGAACGAGTTGGTGATGGCCTCTTTGAGGAATCTGTACGAGGAGAGGCAGAGGAGCCATAAGCACACACTGTCTGGAGACAGCAAACAGGTAACTGTCACACATCTCTTATGCACACTGAACCACTACTGTACCCGCTTTCCTGTCTCGATTGCTTTTATGTCCCACATTTCCTCAAAAGTGAACAACAGGTAAATGACTGAATTGTTCTGTATGTAGAGATAATTGGGGGAACTTTTTTTTTATTAATAAACTATCTCCCTGTGTGTCTCCATGTGTGTGTAGGCGTGTGAGGAGGCAGCTCCAGCCCCGGTGGAGGCTCAGCAGCAGAGTAGCAGTCGGCAGCGGCTTGAACAGTTCAAGAGCCGAGCCAAGCGCTCTCTCACTGAGTCCCTGGAGGGGATCTGGAAGGTAGCAGCTCTCTTTCATGCTCAGTGTTTAGTCAGCAATGCTCAAGATTGCACTTACATGCAGTTTCCATTTGTAACCCAACTTTTAAAAACAGGATTTTCAGTAATTATTCTTTTCACAATCACAACTCTGAAATGAATTCTGTAATTATGAGATACTGGTCCTTGAAACACTGTCCTGGTTTGTGACTTTTGATCTATGTAAAAGTCAGATACTGCGTAAGCTCAGTGTGTGGGTGTTTTCTTTTTGCAGGGAAGCAGCAAGGCCAGAGCTCAGAGGGACAATAGTTTAGGAAGTGACAGCGGCTCTTCTGTCAGTGCGGTCACCAACAGCCCCGAGCAGTCCAGTCTAGATGAGCCCTCGCCTACCTACTCCCACCTGCGACCCACCAGCCCACTCAGGTACAAACCACCGCTCTGACTCATATCTTTTGGCAGAACAGTCAGTGCTTAAAGGTCAGACCTGCCCTATTTATTTAACTATGATTTCATGAGGGGGGAGGATTGAAAAGAGTGCTTGAAAGAAGCTGTTTTTGGTTCATATTTTATTTAATTTAAACCTCAGATATACGCTTTTGATGGTAAATAAGACGAGACAAAGTGATCTAAGTGAGGTCTTGAACTCCCCCTGCTGGAGAGGTTATTCATTTATTCATAGATCTGGTTGGACACAGAGGGGGAGTTAATTTAAAGCCTCCTGTATGTGGATATTATTTCCCAAACATCATTTGAATGATACATTTATAGATTAGATACAGTATCTTTATTTCAAACATATTAATAAGAAATTGAGTTGAATAAATTATAAAAAATTAAAAAAAGCATTGAACAATATGAAAGTCAAACCGAAACATCAGCCACCATTTTCAACACAAAACAAAAAGTAGGATGATGTTTACACTTATACTCTTTATCCTTCGCAACAACTATAACACAATTATCTCCCAGTGTCCCTTTTAATTGTATATTAATTAATATGGTAAAATAAAAATCTCTTATTTCATCGCTTATGAATTTGTTTTCTAAAGCTTGCGACAATTTGGGGCCTGATTTGCCCCCCAAAAGATCGGCGGGCATCGCCTGATTCAAAGCCTTTATCCGATTTTTTTTTTGTCAGAAGAATCCGTGTTGTGTCACCATTAGTTTACTGCTACTGATGGATTCTGAGCCTCCCCAATCTGAAATCGTAAATATGCCTCCTGGTCAGGCTGCCTCTGACGGATTACCCACAGCGAACAATGAGAGCGAGCAGACTTGGAATCGTCACTAACCGGATGTTGCAACAACTGACCATCAGCTCGTTTTTCAAAACACACAGCAGGAGAGCCAGCTGACGATTTCGATTGCCCTCCATGTTTGTTTTTCTTTTGAAGTCACGCACATTTCTGTGAGATCTTGTGTCTGTGAAACCTTAGTACAAACAGGTGTGGTGTCTCCAGGTCTGGCCGAGTCATCTAATCTTCCCAATGGGTTTTGGGAAGATTATATATAGTATTCAAAATCGGTCTAACCTGTCATTTAAAATCGCTTAAGGTTTGAAAATCATCCTGTGTGTGGCCAGCTTAACATGGCAGTTGTTACAAAACCAGAACTGTCTTAATATTAGCAACAGAACAGTATCTTAATATTGTTTGTTTGAACCATGCTAACTTTTTAAAAGACCTTATACATCAAGGAAGTGAATTGAAAGAAACCTCTGACTTCTTGGCTTTGGATGCCATACAGGTAACGATGTCGTCTGTCTCCCCTCATATACTGTCCCTGTCATCTTCAGGTGTCACAACTCAACAGGAGACCTGAAGCACCTTGACTCCTCTCTCCGCCTGTCTCCCTCCACCTCCTCTTTACCCGATGACGCTCAGCCCTCGGGCTTCCGCAGGCGCGCCAGCACCTTCAGCCACCCTCCCACCCCCTCCTCAGCAGAGTACTCACCGCTGCACACACTAAATCACTCTCCACAAGAGCCCACTGCAAATACCAAGCCAAAGCTGGTACGACACTACTCCGTCAGCACCGATACTCCCCACCAGAGCAAGTAAGTGGACTGTGTGTGTCTCTGTTTGATTTGATGTGATTCCATAAAGTGAATCAAAGAAAGATGAAGTTGAACTTAATTGGTTATGCGTAGAATGTTTTGCAATTCTCCCTAATGGGTTTCGGTAATTCTGTTGATTAAGAATTTGTAACTACATCTGCAAACTCTGGAGAGAGTCTCAATAGATGATGATGATGATCAGGAATAAGTCTGTGACAGCGTCCTCATGCGCGGTTGAATGCATGGTTTGTGTAATTTAGTATGTCAAAAGTGGGTTTCCTCTGTGTGAGCGGGGCATTGATGTCAACGCTAACCCCGGCACAGGACCGGAGTTTTGGATCAGCAGTGTTCTGGTTTAGTTTGAAGTCAGAGTAGTTTCATCTACTGGGGTTCTACTAGAGTTGTAGTGTGACCTGGCTGTACACAGAGAAATAGTCTGTGTTCAGAGAAAAAAGGATGGAATTCAATCTGAAAAATGCAATCCCTGAAGTCATTATCGGTCATTTAACAACAATTTAGCTCTAATTAATGTTTTTAAACAGATGTATGAACGTGCAGCAATCAATCCACTCTTAGACGTCATCTCTCAGCACCATCTTCATTTTCACTACCTAAGTTACAAGGATGGCTGTAAACAATAGTAACATCTGGATAATGAATGAAAACAGTCAGATGGGCTGGAATTTGAACTGCCAGGCCACTAGTGAGGCGATGTGAAAACGCAGCAAGAAATATTCAGAAAAATACACCATGAGCAAGCAGGAGGGGTTCTGACGCTGTGACCAGCAACACATGACCATAGACCGTACGATTGCAAGCAGTGCAGTCTTCATGCACATGATGAAACTGTTTGTTTTTGTTTGTTTGTTTGCAAGTATTATTTCCTGGGCTCTTTTGTTGGTGTGTGTGAATACATCAAACTACATGTAGCACTCAAAGATACAAATTGTCATTGTACCTTCCACCATGTATATGCACATGTCAAAACTGAAATCTGTTGGACAATATCTCGAAACTCTTCTTCCAGACACCCTGTCTCTCATTTCTCATGCTCTCCTTTTCAAAACAGTTTTCCGTTGTCATATTTTTCAGTGTCTTTGATTTTCTCAGCTTCTTCTTACTTCACTCTCCGGTTCTGTATTTCTGCTGCTTCTCAGAAATGTCCCAACCGACTCCACCCTTCTTCCTGTTCCTCCTTGCCCTGCATCTCTCTCTCCTCCCCTCCCTCATCATCCTTCCTCACCTTCTTCTGGCGCCCGGCTCAATAAAAGAAGGTGAGGACACCGCATTGGCTTTCTGTTCGACTCATCCAGTATCTCTTTTCTCTGTTTTGTTTGCATTTATAAATGGCTCCTTTAACCTTCTTGTCATTGTTATAATTAAGGCCCTGTTCTGACAGAGAAATATAATCAAGAACCTCTTTGTTGACAGTTTGAATGATGATTAAATCTATGACAACCGTAAAAGACCACTGGAGGGAACTCATGTTGGTTAAAAAGGAGGTCCACTATGAAATACATCTGAACTCTTCATTAGTGATAATCAATTATCACCTAGAAATACCGGGTCTGTCATATTGCTATAGAAATGAGCTCAAGAGACTGAAAACAAGAAATGACATTAAACATGATAGGATCCAGAAACATGTTCACTCAACCACACAGTGTGGAAAAACTTCTCCTGATTCATGATTCCCTGACCCAGCTCACCTGGCTGTGATTACTGCCTATGTCCAGGTGGGCAGGTGATGTAGCAGCAGCAACATTAGCATGCAGTAATCACCTAACTTACCACACACACATTATAGCATACATGAAATTGGTGACAACATTTGTCTTCTAAACAGTTGAACATCTCAGATTGTTTCAAAGCTATGTGGCCCACAGTATCATCCCTCTGGTAAAATATACAAAGATAAAAAACATTCCTATATGACACTCTGTTTGAACAGGGCCTAAGATTTCCTCTTTTTTCATGTCGTCTTCTTTTTCTCCACCTGCATCGCAGTCCACTGGGTGGTCTGCGTGCTCGTCTCCACTCATCCTCCTCTGTTCCTAATTTTCTGAAATTTCAATTTCTGGCTCCTGTGCAGGAGAATGATTTCTTTGAGCCAAAGAGCAGGTACACACACATATATAAACAAGTCAATGTTTGTTTGTAAAACATGTTGTGATCTTTGCTGCTTGTTTCAGTGATCATGTAATGTGTTTTATTATGTGTGTCCTAAAGCCGACTGAATGTCAATCAGGGTTAGTGTAACCATTCCTGTGTGTGTGTGTCTGTCTTTATTTCAGTGATGTTGCAGCTCTGTCCTCACCTAGTAGAGCATGCGGGGTGGGAGAAAGCCCTCTGCGCAGCCACCGCCACTCATGGAGGCAGCAGATCTTCTTACGAGTGGCCACTCCTCAGAAGAGCACAGAAACCATTGGTAAGAAAAGAGACACTCTCAAATCTGTTTTAACACCTTGTAACCCCGATTCCCTGTAAGGAACAACCACTGGTCCTTGAGGGAAGACATTGGACCTTGTACTACATAACTACAGATATACTATAGAAGGTAGTTTGACACTGTTAAGGAGACAGCGCCAGTGTCTCCACAAGGTGTCTGACAAAAAATAAAGATGATTTGTCAGAGGTTAACAAAAGTGCTGACACCTGCAAACAAAACTGAAACACTCTTTTATACGGTTTAACTCGGAAGACACAAACCTACTCTACATTGAAATAAAATCCATCCATTATCTATACCGCTGCTCTTATATTGTTTCAGGGTCTCGGGGGCTTTAGCCGATCCCAGACCTGGACTGGTCGCCAGTTAATTACAGGGCTGACATAGAGACAGGCAAACATTCATGCTCACACTCAAGCATGACTTGAGTCAACAATTAACCTAACGAGCATGTCTTTGGACTGTGGGAGGAAGCTGCAGGGACCAGAGTGAACCCACGCATGCACAGGGAGAACATACAAACTTCACAGAGTAAGACCCTGTCCAATGGGGGATGCAATGACATAATTCAATCTTAGTAAGTTATACAAATATTTAACTTATTTTCATCATTAAATAGGCACTTCTTTTTCTTCTTTTTTTTAGAATACTGTCAATAATAACTGAAGTGCCTGCTTTATGCACGTGGGGGTGAGTGGGGGGGTATAAGTGTGTCTGTGTGAGTCAGAGAGCTTTGATCTCCACTTCAGGAATTACTTTGCATGCTCCAGTTGCAAAGCTCAACAAAAGGAAGAAGGCAGTCCCAGGTCAGGACACTTGAGTAAACACACATGTCCTTTTTCTATGCAAACAACATCCTGACAGAATAAGAGCATGAACATGAAACCTTACATGTTCTAGATCAGCTGTGCTATTTTAAACAACTACTCCTGGGCCCTTTCCGAATTGTCACAGTTCAGTAGGCAGTACGTACTATTCAGTATGGAGTTTCAGTATACTGAACTTCCGTGGTCATTCAGTGGTCATTTTTTGGGTCCACCTCAGTATACTGAACATTTCAGTATGGATACTAACTTCTCGGGTTTATGCAGTATAGATCGGATGCGTGCTTTCAGGAAATGAATTGTATTTACAACCCACAATGCTGTGCGAAATTAAACGTAAATCATCACGTCACGTGTGCCTCCAAATCAAAACAAACGAGCGTGGATTAATTGAATCAATTTTTAATCTAGAGTTAAAGTCCCGACTGAAATCACTACTTTTAATTAACAACAGAAAATATAACAAATATCTGCATTATTATAAAACCTTTCCCCCCTCTATTTAAATAATGATTTCACTATTTAAATGCGTCTTTATTTGTTTATTTTACTTTATGTTCTGTATATTAGTGTCTTTCATTTGTTCTTTCCTTAATGTAGCCTACTGTATGTTATTTAGTTATTTAATCTGTCTTTTACTTGATTTACATTGTGATATTGTTTTTTGTTTACCTGACTGTATATGCGCAGTATAAAGCTAAACAAAACAAAAAAACGGGTCAATGCGGCCGGTTCGGGAAACGTAAATGACGTCACTTCCATACTGAATGAATCAGATGAAGTAGGAACAAATATCTGCCTACTGTGTGTGCATACTGAATAGTAGATACTAACAGTATACAGCACGGATAGTAGGTACTGCCTACTGCCTACTGAAAGATTGAGTAGGTACTTGGCAATTCGGATACAGCCCCGGTCCCACAGTGCAGACAGCAGTGCAGTGACAAAGACTTTACACTCGGTGTCACCCTTTCATTCAGAGTGATGGTGCATGCAGGCAGGAGAAGGGAATCATGTAATGCACTGTAGTTTATACTCTCCTAATGAACTTTAATGAGCCTTTATAACCCACCTGGCAGCTTCTACTCTACCTGCTGCTTATTTTCTACACCTTTCAATTGATCCTTAAGATACTGATATTCACGTCCATACAATCATTCTCAGTTTGGATGTTTGACTTCTGTAGTATTTTGTGGATTGTACAACTAAAACCACTTCTTTAGGTTGGTATAGTACCCATTTTATGTTTTATCTCATGTTTGAACACTTCTCTGTTTGACTTATTTGCCTGTTGTTGTTCCTCAAGTGTTTTATTTGGAGTTAAGATGTCAAAAAGTCAAAGTTAAAGTCAACTTTATTGTCAATTTCAAAATATGCCAGACATACAGTGGAATCGAAATTGCGTTTGTCTCCGTGGGTAAGGGGTAGGGTTAGGGTTAGGTGCAATACAACCAAAATAAGGTAAAATAAGATAAGGTAAAATAGATAAAATAAAATTAGGTAAAAATAAGATAAATAATATTTACAGTAATAATTCTAAATTGTACAAAATGGTAAATAAATAAAATTTAAAGAAAAAGTAAACTTGTGCAATATGTGAAATGTGCAGTAAACTGAGTGTACTTTTGAATAGTTAGCTTCAGAGTTATTAGTCCAGAGTTCTTGGTGGCAAACGGGAGGGGGTTTCAACGTCCAGTGTTCGTGGGGGCAGAGGGGAGGGAAGGAAGAGAGGGGAGAGAGTTAAGCTTCCTCACAGCTTGGTGGAAGAAGCTGTTTCCCAGTCTGGTGGAGCCGGCCCGCAGGCTGCAGTACCGTCTCCCCGATGGCAGTAGGCTGAAGAGGCTGTGTGAGGGGGTGGGTGGGGTCATGCACAATGCTGGTTGCCTTGCGGGTGAGGCGGGTACCGTAGAGGTCCAGAAGAGAGGGGAGTGGGACACCGATAATCCGTTCAGCAGCCTTCACTGTGCGCTGCAGGGTCTTGCGGTTGGCAGCAGTGCAGCTCCCAAGCCACACAGTGATGCAGCTGGTCAGGATGCTCTCGATGGGATCACTAGTGACCATGTGTGTTCTGATTGAATATTAAACATATATAGAACATGACCTCTGGTGGCATTTCACGTTTGTCTTGACTTGTCTTTGTCTGACTTAGTATTATGACGTGATCTCACATGGCTCTGTCTGATGGTATCAGTTAAGGTTTTGTCTGTGTGTGACAAATGAATTGAATTTGAAGAGAAATAATTAAAGCAGCAGGTCTGCCTGGAGACTGACAGCCCTGTCAGATATTTTAGAAGTATGTAGTATACATAAGTTGAACACGTTGTTGTACATTTTAAGAAATATTGCTTTGATGATAACTCTGGAGTATCAATCACCTGCCTTGTCTCAGTATATGCTTACATAAAGGGATGTGTCAGTCGGTGCAGACATGGGAACCACACATGTGCTTGCAGGTCTTCAGATTCTACATTATGGTAATTATATGTACCGCGAGCGTGTATGACAGAACAAGTGCTGACAGTTGTGATAGTTGGGTTGGTCACACTGTTACTCCTGAGCAAACCGCCAATGGGAGAGAAAAACATGTTCATACAGATTAAGAAGGACGTTGTTTTTATTGTATTTTAGTGAAGTGTTTAGATTTAGTATCCCCACAGAGAGGGGAATGACCTGCGGGAAAGGAGTCACAGGTGTGATTTGAACCTGGGCCGCCCACTTAGAGGACTATAGCCTCCGTAGATGAGTTGAATGCATTAACCACTAGGCTACCTGCACCCCTCGGAGAGATATATTTTTGTATTCTCGTTGAACTTTGGTTAACTCACATTACGTATGTTGTCATTATGACAAATGAATTGAACTCTGTTCTCAAATAAAACAGGGTAGAATCTATATACAGTATATAATCTGTAATCTAATATTGTTTAATCTAACAGATATGTTTTGAATTGTCATTCATTTTGTCGACTGTAAAGAAAACAAAAGATGTCAAGTCTATTATAACTTCTTGTTGTCTCAATCTGTTTTTTTTTACATTTGTTAAATGAAAATGAAATATGTCTATATTGTCTTTCTGCCTGCCCTTCTGATTTCTTTAACACCGTTCAGCTGATCGACTTCACACTCAGAGGTTTGTAGTCGTTTGAACCCAAAGCAGAGTTTGAAGTTGCTTTGTATGATCAGTTTTCTGGAGGAAGATGCAGAGACGGCAAACTGGTATGTGTTCTGAGTGACACACGATGATCACATAATGCTGAAAGCACGGACAACACAAAGCAACATGTACATACAGCATCAAAGGTCGTGCCCGCAGGCGTTGCACTATTAAAATTGAATCGGTTTTGGAAATCGTTCTAATTGTGATGAGATATCTCCTTTTGTAATCTAGGCCTCTAGTTATGATGGTAATGTCTTCTTTAAATATTTCAATATACAAAAACAGTCACTGTCTGTCGTCGGGCCACAGCTACAGTACACTGTCATGCTCTTTGAAACACCAAAGGATCTGAGAGTGACAAGTGAATGACTTGTTGTCAGTGTCAAACACTAGAATCTTATTGATGATTTGTGTGTTCATTTTAAAGCAACAGTCATTAAGATTATAGTTTCTCTTGTCCTAGTTGAGATAGCTTTAGCGTTCTTTGAGTAAGAGTCGGTGAGAGTTTGTAGCCTTCGTCATGTGTCGTCATGATTGTCAGAAACTTTTTTTTACTTATCGTCACATTGTTTATCTCTTTTGGCCAGTAAAGAAGCAACAGCCCTGGCAGCATCGTTCGTGCCTGTTTGTGTCCGTGTAAGCTGCAGGTTAATTTGGCCGGCCCTTCACACAACAATCACGACACCGACCAGAAACCAACAGATTTTTGGTATTAGTATTATCACCAATACAGTTATGGGAAGTACAGTCGTGATGTAATGCTGACTGAGGTCAAGTGTCAGTGTCAGATATCTAATTCAGTGCCGTTGATCCGTAAAAGTAAACAATGCCGCATTCTAGCTTGGGGTGTTGGATCCACCTGCCGTGACGCACGCCACACCACGCCACGCCAAGACTAACAGAGGTTGCTGTTTGGATACAAGTACTGTGATGCCAGTGTTGTTTGGACTGCTAAGCTGCTTCATTGTGTTTCTTTATTCAACCTGTGAGGACTGACGTGAGCAGCCGACAGTTAAAGTTGACTTCAGGTTCACAGTTTGACTTTGGCTGAGGAAATTAGTAAGACAACAAAATGTAAGAAAAACAAAGCGTAAGAAAAACATATCGGATCACTTTTTCCAGTGAATTACACTAACAATGGTAGCTCTACAAATAACATTGACAGGATATTTTCATATGTTATCTCTTTGTATTTTTAAGCTACCACTGGGATTGCCGTGTTCTGTAATCTTCTAATTCTTAAGGTTCAATGAGAAACGGTGACATCCTGTTAAATGAACCCCTCTCAGGTGCAGTTTCAACAAAACCTTCATGTTAGGTGTATTTTCTGCAGGAGTGCCATCATTTTTTTATTTCACTCCTTTACACACGCCCTTCTCACATCTGTATTTGGTTCTAATCAATTCAACGTGGGACTGATGTGACCTTCTCATCCTCCTTGTCACTGAATGTGCAGCTCATGAGGGATTAGAGGGCTTTGGGCCTCTCATTGTTGCACTTAAGTTTCCCTTTCTGCTCAACCATGTCTCCTTTCCATGAATGCAATCTGCACCTGAAGTGTTTTGACAGACAGGTTCCATGAGGTGAAGGAGAAACTGTGTTTTTGCAGGTCAGTGTGATTGGTTGTATAGTGGCTGAATGCAGAGCTAAGTCTGGTCGTGTTGGGTGTGTTCTGGTGTTTGTGCTTGCTCACACACATGAGGTCATGGGTGTGTTTGAATGACTGTGTGCTTGTGTGTGTGTGTGTGTGTGTGTGTGTGTGTGTGTGTGTGTGTGTGTGAGATTTGGAGGCTGTGGTGGTGTCCCAAGGTCATGTTGACAGTCCACACACAGACAGCGCCAGAGGAGAGCGCCAGCCTTGTTGACCCACTTTACATGTTTTGTGTGTGAGTGTGTGCTGGGACTTGGTTATGGCTATGTTGGAGTGTTTGCTCAGGGAGTGGATCAGGCCACTTTATGCAAGAGTGCACGTGCACGTGGTTATTTTGATTAAAACAAGGCTTTAGCTTTAGAATAAGTCGTATCCTATACAGTTTGTTTAAGGTGAGGGGAAAAGAGTTATGACATTGTTGAGGTTAGTTAAGAACCCTCACAACGATTGTAGGATAAGCGTGTGTGTTGTGTGAGTTCATCCGTGCAATTTTTTCACACCTAAAAGTGAACTCTTCAGTTGTGTTCTGTTGATGCAGGGAAACGGTCTGTGTTTGTGTAAAACATACATGACTCTCTTCAGAGATTTAGCTGTCTCCCTGTGTGTCTGTGTTTGTGTGTTTTAGTGTCACACGTGTCAGGTTTGTCCTCACTTCTCTTCTAACTTAAGACAAGATGTTTGTACAGTGACTCTGCTGGTTTCAGCATGTCTCGGAAAGTCTCCCTGATGCAGACACAAAGGCATACATGAATGTTAGCCTTTCCAGCACAAAGAACACCATTGTCATGGTGTGTGTGTTCGTAGGTGTGTATACGTGCAGTTTGTACATGTCTTGTCTTTATTTGTTTCAGGGTATTTATCTTCCGCAGGTTAGTTATCTAACATTTTTTTTTAAGTTTCCTCAGAAGAGTCTTGAGGAAAGATAAGCATCAAACTTACATACCTGAGCCAAACTAAGGTGTGAGTGAGTCTGTGCGTGTCTGTGTGTGCACACTATCAAACTGACTTGTGGTGCTATCTGGGTGGCTGTTATGTCCTTCCTCTAAACAACATTGGGTATTTTGAGGTTTGGGATCCACCCAGTACTTTGGGGTGGAGTCATACAAACACATTTATTTTACTGGGTGTTTGTTGCATCCCGCTGTGTCAAATACATCTATGTTTAGAAATTTGTATTCAAGTGATTCTTTGTCATGCCACTTGACTGTTTGTCTGTCAGCTGTGTGTCTTGAATCATGTAAAAAAAAAAAACAAAAAAAGACAAAAAAAGAAAACATTTGTGTGTGTGTATTTTGACATTTAAATCCTTTTCTATAGCATTTTATCACTGGTAACATCTCTGTTGTTGTTTTTTTTACAGCCTGTGGAAGTAGTAAATGTACTGCTGTGTTAATCTGATCTCATGTATTTAAATGTAATGTGTCTTCCAGAGCGAGGGGATCCCTGTCTAGATGCGAGTCGTGGCCAGGTGGGAGTCGGAGGAGGAGGGGACTTGTCTATAAGCGTGGTGCCTGAGGAGCGGACGAAGAAGAGCAAAGAGGAGCTGAGGGAGCTGTGGAGGAAGGCCATCCTGCAGCAGATCCTCCTGCAGAGGATGGAGAGAGAGAACCAGAAACTACAGGGTAAATTCAATGGATCTAGGGAAAGGGAAAACACATATAAACACATATACTTCCTGTTATTTCATTTTATGCACACTATCCAAAAATAAATGACAATGCAATGATGATGATCATTCTATAGTGATCATTAGCCTTCACAATGTTGAAAGCATAACATGCACACAGCGTTCATTTAGCAGATGGGTGTGTATCTTTGCACTGGGTATTCTGTGGTGTGGGTTAGTCTAACATCTGGGGAGCGTGCATTTGGTGACTACATCTTCAGTTATCGGACCGAACACATCACTGCATGATAGAGTTTGGGAATAATGGGTGCACAACTACAGACTACAACAGGCTGTGGGAGTTAAGATACTTATTGTTGTTCCCTGCAACTGTCAGACACTTGCAATATAAATAAATCACAATATGGCTGTCTGGTCCTGCAGAGTAGAATTTAATTTGTAATGTGTGAAGACACGAACAGCAGCCAACATCGTTTCACTGAGCAGCGTTGGCATCATTCACACACTGATGCTGTTGACTGACATGATCAGTCAATTTCTCTTGAAGCTCAAAAGCAAACAAACAAATCTTTCTTGAATCCATCCTGGCATCATGCCTTTCCAGGTGTATTTAGACCCTCCGTTAATAAACAGGTTATATAATATATATGAGTGAGTGTGCATGCGTGTGCGTTTACTGGTAGATCATAATTAAGGGTGTGCCAAGTGCACCGCCTCTTTTCTGACCCAGTTGGCCACATATCAACACACACCTAGCAGTGCACCACACCCCTAATTACCTGCTCAGTATCCTAACTATTAATTAACACACAATACTTCATCCGTCACGCCAGGTAGACATTATTGCCTCTGCATTGTACATGGCAGAGTCTCATGGAGAGAATTTGGGTCATATTGATGTAAGACAAACAAGCCAGGGCAGCGACATTTAGTGGGCTCACACTGTACACACTTACAAACAAGCCTTCAATGTGGTGCAACTGACTTGGGCGTCTATAGTTTTATTGTGTTTTATTTCTCCCACAGGGTGAGCTCCACCTTTCTGTCCGTTATTTGTCTGGGTGGAGATCGAATCCCTATCCTCTATTCTTTTATTTATCTGTCTCACCGCTGTCTGCTTTATGGGTCAACTGTGGAAAAAGTGTGTGAGCGTATCTTTGTCTGCTCAAGGGTGGGGTATCCTATCCTGTGTGTTATCATGGGCGGAGTGTTCCGGCGACAGAAAGAGAAATGGAGAGCAGCGGGAGGTTAGGAGAGGGGAGAGAATGAGTGCTGACTGGGCTGCAGCCAGCGAGTCGTCGTGCTGGACGAGACTGTGCGTGTGCAGAGACGGCTGATAAGAACGACAGCAGAGCCGCAGCATCTATTCTTACTCTGGGTGTGTCAGCTACTGAGCCATCCAACTTTTCCTCCTCTGTTATACAAAAAGCACATTCCAGGTCACTCCCGCTACTTTGCTGTATTTGACTGCTGCAGGCCTTGATATATAGCATTCCATGTAAAGTATTCAAACCTCTTGTGATGCTCTTAATTCATCTTGTGCCAAGTATTTTTTTAGGCTCAAGTTTAGTGTGAGCTGTATTCACTTTTGCAGGGCCCTTGGTGATCATGCAACACTCATGGGCTTTACAGATATTTCAGATCACCCCCCCCCACCACCACCACCACCACCACCGCCACCACCCCTGGCTATCTGCCCCCAATATTCCTAATGTTTCCTGAAAGGTGTCAATGCAGGTCAAGGAAGTAGGCTGTTGTCTCTTTCCTGTCCCATACCGATGATGTCACCCTCCCCAGCTCTGCCTGGCTGCAGCTGGTCACTGGGTGGACACCACACATGAGCGGGAAAGGGTGGGGAAGTCCTTAAGGGATCGAGCGGTGGGGGGGGGGCGGGTGGGGGGGGTTGAGGCGATGAGGTTTTGATGAGAAAAACGTGGAACTGGATGAGAAGAAAGGAGTGGATTGTGGGCAGAAAAAGTGAAAGAGAAGAGGAGGATGCTGGGTGTAGAGATGAGATGAGGGGAGAGGGAGAGGAAGGGTGTTGTCAAAAAGAAATGCACAGATGAGGGGTGCTGGGTGTGCCCTCACCTTCTTTGATCACTGGTGTCAATGTGTAAAAACGGAATTCACAGTTTTTCTCTCTCTGCTAAGCTTATATGTTGTTTGTCAAAGTCCAGGGCCAACCCCATGACCCGCATCTTTACTGTTTTCCTCGCTTTCAACGGAAGCTTCGCACCATTTCTTTGCTGCAGTAGGAGCTTTTTTCTGCAAAAAATCTCTAAAGCCACAGAACATGACCTCAACAAACCTAAACAGCAGACAGGCATAGTGAGTTAGGAGCTGGTAAACATGTGAAAATATTGCAACATGTTGCAGCTAATGCCAGATATATATGCGCCCAAGGATATGGTAAAGACAAAAAAATAAGAAACAGAGGGGACTTAGAGTTGCTCCTTAACTTTTGGTTTTGTAAAAATAAACCTACAGTTTGCCCATGGCCAAGTCCTTTTTATATTCAGATTTATCTAGAGGGGAAGGTTTTGTTTTTTGAAGGCCTGATAAAAGTGTACAGTATTTATATTGAGTACAGCAGTTAGTTAATGTGGATGTTTTTTGTCATTGCAAAAAAAAAAAAAAGATAGCGGAAATCATTCAGGGCTGGGGGTTTGTAAAGGGACAGACATGCTAGCATCTGTGCAGGTGAGCTGAAATATATTTGAGGAACACTAGCCAGGTGTTTCCAGTAGGACAGATTAGGGATGCAGGGGTTGTTTACATTATTAATGTGTATTATCTTGTGTTTGTAGCCTCAGAGAGCGACCTGCAGAACAAGCGCCTGAAGCTGGACTACGAGGAAATCACTCCGTGTCTGAAGGAGGTCACTCTGGTCTGGGAGAAGATGCTGGGAACTGCTGGGAGAGCAAGGGTTAAATTTGACCCAGAGACTATACATGCTGCTGTTACACAAGGTACTTATAGTTTCCACTAATACGTGTATCAGTGCTTCTTTGAAATGTTTGTCCCTTTTGCAAAATCACCAGGCATAAGCAAATATTGACCAAAGCTCTGAAACTGACAGTTTGTGTCCTAACTTTTCCCTCAATGAACTTCAAAAAGTGTTATTTATTTATTTATTTATTTATTATTCTTTCCTTTAGTGCACACGGTGAAGTCAGTGTGTATTCAGCAACATGTCCCCGTCTGTCTATCAGTCGTTCTGTGCTGGCTGACTGTTCTTTCCGTTTTCTGGTTTCAACATGTTCTGCACAGAGGACACGAGAGTTATCTCCTCTGTGAGAGAACTTGGTGACGTAACTACAGAGGCCAGTCACTAGATGCTTGCGCAACATGTCGTCACAAAAAAAAATGGTGGCAGGGGTCATGAGTAGTGCTTGAGTTCTGCATGTTTAAACATCCTCCTTCTGGGGTCTTTACAGGCTGACAGTGTCTGTGGTGTTTTCTTGTTTTTAATAGAAATATTTTCAACGGTTATACTGATTTATTATTACTATAAAGCCTGTTTCTATATTGCCCCTCTTATTAAAGAAGAAATGATTATGTATCATGAATCACATGAAACTATGAAGTACTATGATTATTTATACATTTACAGTTTCTTAACTTTATTTAGTTGACGTGAAAACTGCACGAACGCACAAATGAACCTGAGGTCGTTGGAAATCAGAGTTGCTCTGCATTAAATAAGGGGATCAGGAATATTTAAAAAAAACAACAACACAATGACAAGAAGAATAGAAGGCAGAATTGTGTGGCTATAAAGGGGATCAACTTGGGGACCAGTTTTTTTTTTTTTTTTAAGAGGAAGGGAATTCCCAACATGCAGGAGTGTTGTTGGATTGGGGCAGTGTTGCCAGACGTGCAGTTAGGAGTCCAGGAAGTTTTGCACAACAAAAAGATGTGACCTCTTATAAAGCTGTCACGGAGACAATTAAAAAGGTTTAGATGAGCTGTGCGCAGATTTTGACAAAGCTCTGTGAGCTTTTTCCCCCTTCGACAGTTTAAAGGCTTTAACTCAGTAAGGTCATAAAGGACAGTATGTCCGGCACTCACTCAGAGTAATTACTGGTCTGACATGAGGTTCAGCCTCTTTACGGTGTCTTCAGCTCCTCAACAATGACCACAATGTCCCAACGTCACAACTCCTTACGCTTTGCATACTTCACAGATCATTTGCATACAACTGATAGAAATCGACCTTTTACAAGGAATGCACCTGAACTGACAGTTAAAGTAGATTAACATGTCATCGCACCTTTGAACCACCTCATCCTACTCAGTCACACCCTACTCCTTCTCTTATCATCTCTGTCATTTCACGCAGGTGTCCCACGGCAGCATCGCGGCGAGATCTGGAAGTTTCTCTCTGAACAGTACCTGCTCCGGCAGACGGTCCCCTCCCGACCGCCCGCCAATCACACTCCGTACAAAGAGCTGCTGAAACAGCTCACATCACAGCAACACGCCATCCTCATAGATCTGGGTAATTCTCTCTCACACACACACACACACACACACACACACACACACACACACACACACACACACACTTCTCAGATCGTTCTAAATTCTCTTTGTGGAGGATCAAAACACATTAAAACAGTGATAACAGGTCTCAAAAAATTTTTTTGACCACACACACACACAAGCACCCCACCCATTTCACACCCACATACATAGAAGTCATACACATCCACCCACACATCTATCCCTGCAGCAGCTAACCTCCTCTGACTCTACTGTTCACCCCCCTGTCTTTCATCTGTCCGTGTTATTCACTCTACATCATGAAGGGTGGGGACAGAAGAAACGGCGTGCACAGTGGCGTGTTCCGATGTAAAGGTGTTATGTGCTGTAGGATGAAAACACGGTGCGTAAGCTACTAAAGCGGACAAGAAGTGTGCAGGTGGGAACGCACAGAAACTCAAGACTGTTATTTCAATCTCGCAGTAAACAAATGTTAGGTAAAGGAGGTGTAGATTTTCTGAGGTTTGGGGGTTGTGAAGCACGGCCCTCCCACACCTCGCAGTCACAGACACACACTGATCTTACCTCGAGGCGGGGGAGGGAGTCCGTGGCATTATGTTCACAAACATAAAGCCCCTCCAGCACATTCCAGAAATATACACTCACACCGTCGTCATTGTCTTCTCCAAAGCCTCTCTGTCACACACTGTAAGTCAAGGAGTCCTCAGTCCAAAAACACACACACACACACACAACTGGCAATTACCCACCTGTCCAATGTAAGAATGCTCCCACACAGACGCACGGTCATTATGTTGTCATGTTTGAAAGGTGCACGTCCTGTCCTGCTTTACATGTTCAGCTACTGAGAGAGAGAGAAGAGAGAGAGAGAGAAAACATGTTTGTGAACATGACAACTTGGAATAGGTTGGCACATGCACATGTACTCTTCTAACATCAACAGATAAGTGTAGAGGCTCTCATCCTTAAGGCAAAGAGAAGCTGCTTTGTTCAAACAAGTGGCGCACACCTGCAGACCCCGGTGTCTTATGGATCCTTCAGAGTTCTTTTTTTTTATTAGTGTCATCAGACAGAATGTAGTAAATCACATCTATTAAAGAGCTGCCCTCTTTAGATGAATATCAGGTCTATAGCAGACATCATGTAGACACTGTGTCTGGCAGAGGAATTCCTGCCAAATGTAAACAGCGCAGATGTTTTGCAATAAGGATCGTGTCTGCTCTCTTTTCCTTCCTAGGTCGCACTTTTCCCACTCATCCATATTTCCAAGCCCAGCTGGGTGCAGGGCAGCTGTCTCTGTATAATCTACTCAAGGCATACTCCCTTCTGGACCCCGAGGTATTATCCAATTCTTCTTTTTAGTATCCTCTCTGGCTGTCTTTCACTTTTCTTTTGTAGTCTCTCTAAATCCCCTTCACCTGATGAACTGAGTTGTGATCTGCCTTCAGCTTTCTCCCCCTGCCCCCCTCCCCCTCGCCTGTGTAGACGTTGAGTCTGTTGTTGTTTTTATTGTAGGTGGGCTACTGCCAGGGCCTGTCCTTCATTGCAGGAGTGCTGCTGTTACACATGGAGGAGGAGGACGCCTTCTACATGCTCAAGTTTCTCATGTTCGACGTCGGGCTCCGCAAACAGTACAGGCCTGACATGATAATCCTGCAGGTAACATGTGCACATGAGTGTCTTTGTCCCACAGTTACTGTAGCAAACAGACTCATCATGTAGATCATTTCTCTTCTTCTCACACCCTTTTCATTCATGAATTACATCACTATGATTAATGAGCATATAAAAACACTGTCTATTCATGTCACACTTTTCATATGAAAGATGACTCTTCTTATTCCTCGTGATCTCGTCACCTTGACATCAATTGGCTCTCATTTCCATATTATATAATGAAACAGTAGCAGATCATGGGTTTTAGTTGAAACTTGGTTTGCGTGGGAATTCAGCTCTGAGCATTAGATTTCACCCTGAAATAGAACGACTGTAACCAAAGACTGATCAGACTGTATCATGACTGTATACGGCCATTCTTTCTTTTCTTTTCTCTGTTACCAATGCAACTTGCACAAATCAAGTTCACTACCCTTTAGAGAGTCATGATCCTGGCCACTAGAACGTTTTTTAAAGACCTGCTGGGTTATTTCTGAAACTGTCTACATCTTACTGTAACTGGTCTTTTTGAAGAAAACAAAGGATTTCTATTGACAATGACTTCTCCATTTCAGTAGCTGCTGTAGCTCTGGTGTGTCTTCACATCTGTATAACTATGCCTTCATTAAAGCTCCTGTCAGACACCTGTGAAGGTGATATCTCATATTGCTGATCTTGTCCTGTACATGTAGGTAGTATTGTACACAGAGCCACCTTCTCCCAAGCTCACATTGTGTGCTTTTGATGTTCATGTCAGATTCAGATGTACCAGCTGTCCCGGCTGCTCCATGACTACCACAGGGATCTTCACACCCACCTGGAGCAGCAGGAGATCGGGCCCAGCCTGTATGCCACCCCTTGGTTCCTCACTGCCTTCGCCTCACACTTCCCCCTCGGCTTTGTGGCCAGAGTCTTCGGTAAGCTTTGAGAGCTCCTCCTGTGTGTCTGGACTCAGAGAGCACACTCTAGTTAGGTTGGATTGTACGATGTAAGGAGAGAACAGGATGGTGGTACATGTAGATCTTTAGATGGTCTCCACTCCTCAGATTACTTTTCAATCAGATCTTAAATGTGAATGACGGGGAATGGGAAGGAAAGGTGGAAAATGAGTCAACTTTTATTTTTGCAAATTTTGAGGAAATTAAACAAAATTCAAACGAGAAAATCTTTACAGTTTGGCAGTGGGTCAAAGAAGAAAGGCTGAAGCTTTATTAAAATCACACATTATTTAAATCTAGACGGATGTTTCTCCGAAATAAAATCTCCCATAGTGAGTCAGTTACACGCTGATGTTTTTATCTGTCGTGACCTTTTCACAAGTTGTGTAAATATCATCACACCCACAACCTCCTCATCTACGTCTTTCTCTGTTCATGTCCTAACTTTTCTTTTTCTTCATTCCTTCCTTACTGTTGTTTTCATGCCTAATTTCCTACACAGTGCTCGGTCAGTGAGCCAGACTCACGGGCTCCTCGTGTTCATCCGAGCATGTGCGTGTGTGCGTGCGTGTGTTACATTGAGAAGGCGTCATGGTAGCTATCTTGAGTCTTTCATGTCACACCTCTACTCTTTTTCCTTAATCTGTTGTATGATCGTATGCAATCCTGCCTCACCCTTACTCCACCCTGATGCATTCACAGCACGCACACAAATACACACACCTACTCTGCATATTCACCCTGGCCTTTATTTATGTTTGCTTTAACCTTTCTGTTGACGTCAAAGCATCTATCATTTACCAAAGTCTTTCAGTCACCAATCATCCGGGTAAGCTGTTTGTGAGCGCCTGTCACTATTCATTTTAAGTAACGTCTCACCCCCCGTTCTCATTGTTTCTCTGTCTTATTCTGTCAGATATGTTGTTCCTTCAGGGGTCAGAGGTCATCTTTAAGGTGGCCATGAGCCTGCTTGGGAGCCACAAACCTCTGATCCTGCAACATGAGAACCTGGAGTCTATAGTGGACTTCATCAAGACCACGCTGCCAAACCTGGGCCTGGTGCAGATGGAGAAAACCATCAACCAGGTTAGAACAACAAGCCGTCAGTATGACGTCACTTTAATGACTGGAAACTGGAAAACAATACAGAGTGACTCATCTGTCTGTCGCTGTTTTGCTCACTCAAGAGTATTTATTGTTGATAGTAATTCGTCTTATTTTCGATATGTTTAAGGTGAGAATAGAAAAGGTTATATTTGCTGAGAAATGATCAGAAAAGGTCTGTAATGACTTTATAAATCAAGGGAAACAAATCTAATACTTACAAACTCTCCAGCCTTTAGGAGGTATTCAGATCAAGCTCCATGTTTTTCTACTCCAGTAAACCTGTTTATGGATATAAAAGTTTCCTAAATCAGCTGCATACTAATCTTTAAATGTTTGTTTTACAGGAGTAAAACGTTTATAGATAAACTATTTTCAGCCAAAGAATGAAGACAGACTCAGTACAGTGATTTACTGTAGAAGTGCTCTTCATACTTTACGACTTCACTTTATACTGTATGTCAGACCCATAGGTCCATATCGTTATAAAAAAGCACAGATACATTAAGAAAGGGATATCATCACTACAACCAAACACCTAGTCAAATATCAGTGAAGTGGAGAAGAAAAGATGCGCGAATATAGCAGGAAATATTCAGGAAAATTTGAGCTCTTTGACATTCAGTATATCACAGGACCGGTGAGCGACCAGTGTGATCTCGATCCATGTAAAGAAACTGCTTCATACGCTTTACTTCTCGTCAGTATGTTCTTTACCACTTGTTCCCTGATACTGTGAAGACGTCCAATCACACAAAAGCATTTATATAAGGGCATAAAAACTGTCATCAAAGTGTAGGACTCTTTGACTTCCATCAGGGAAAGAACCCTGAGAGGGAGATATGTGAAGAAGCGTTCAGGGGAAGCTGTCCTGAAGAGTTTGAGATTTTGATTAGTTTTTGGACACAAATGGAGGACAGAGGTGGAATAACAAACAAAAGGCTTTAAAAATCAAACAATGTTAATAGAATTACTGTTGGTTTGGGTTATGTGAAGGGGTGTATTTTCACAATAAATGAGTGTGGAAAATCACCAGACTTTCCCAACACCAACATACAGTATCTCTCAACCCTGTTATAGGTTGACTGATAAGGTTTTAGGTTATGTAACCGTTGGATCAGCGTCCAGATGAGATCACCACACGGTGCCTGTCAGATTGTTGTTGTTGTTGTGACTTAAAGGTTTCATCATGAGATCTGACTTTATGACTCATGACGACAATAAAGAGACAAAGTAGTTATAGCTTCATGACACGACAAATAAAACACAATGATAATGATTTGAACCACACCCTCTCCTCTGTGCACTGTTGAAGCGGCAGGTGGAGCGTCAGAGAAGTCGTTACATCACCTTCACCTTTGTTTCAGAAAAAGTGGATCCATTATATGAAAAAAAAAAATGTAGGAGTCATATAAAATGACATTTGACATAAGTGATGAGTCAACCCCATGTAGAGTAGAGAGATGTCATCAAGCCACGCTGTAGTTTAGCAGCTATGCATTTACCTTGTAATTTGACAGAAATGGCAAAGGGTTCATTGACTCATGCTGTAGCTTGCCGGTACTTTCCCTCAAGCGCCACTTATCCACGTCAGGGTGTCTATATGTTCACTGAGGTGTGACTCAAAGTTTCACCACACACACACAAAAAAAAGGAAGAATCAGGGAGTGTCCCTGCAGGATGTTTGGAGCCTCAAGTGCAAAACAAGTATCCACTGTTTACTTTCTGGTTTGTAGTAAGATGGGAACAAAAACCTGTTAAATGTGAGTCATTTGTGACGTTGACGTTCTGTTCTCGCTCAGGTCATCTCTCCTATCAGTAATGATAACACTGTACTCAATCAGTTAGACTGTAGAGATCTGAGGGGAGCTTCTCACGTCTCTGTCATTGTTAGTAGGAAGTTTAAAAAAAAAAAAAGAGAAACTAACAAATGAAATTCTGATATTTTTACCTAGATCTTACAGTCTGATTGATTCTAATGTTTTGGTCGTCTGTAGCAACAAGGAATCTGTACTGATATTTCTGGTCCGCTCAGTTTGGCAAATAAAGTTGTAAAAATCATTTTTAACTCAGATTAAAATCAGTTTTTTCTTTTCCTTATGAAAAATAGTCTTTAACATTTTTCCCCTAATGAAAAAAGCGAGACTATAAAGGTGCTCTTATGTACATAGATACGATAAGATCGATGCGATAAGATGGGATGGAATATGATGCACTTTAATGTTCCCTGAAGGAAGTTTGTCTTGGGCTCCACTTGATTAATTTTTAAGAGCAAGAACAATAGCAATCTGTGCTGGTCACACGCATTGCTTCCTGGTACATGTAGACACTGCAGGCACGGCGGCATCAGAATGAGAACTCGTCTTTCTTCCTTCTTCCTACGTAAAGAACACACCAAGGATTTGATTGCTTATGCGTTTGCATGCTAATGCCTGTTTAAAGTTTGATAAAAGCCTAGTCGTTAAATGACTGCTGAGCAGATCAAATATTGCATAAATGCTGATCCGTCGTACCTGAGCTGCTCCCTACACAGAATGTTTCCCTGCTTACAATCAAATCCTGCTAAACGCATGTGGACAATTAAACTCGGACTAGAAACAGAAACTTAGATGATTCTGATACCCAGGAAGTTGAAAATGATCATATAAAAATATGATTATGATATGTCAGGAAACATATATGATAAATATGTTTCCTGACATTGTGAAAACGTCTTGTGTTTTCTCCACAGGTGTGTGAGATGGATGTGTCCAAGCAGCTGCAGGCCTACGAGGTGGAGTATCACGTCCTGCAGGATGAGATGCTGGACACGCCCCCCACCCTCAACCAACACCAGAGAGCTGCGCAGCTGGAGAGGACCAATCAGAGCCTCCGACAGCAGAACCTTGACCTGCTCGAGGAGCTGCAGGTACACACAGACTCCCATGGATACACAGTGTCACCTTCTCTTGCACTCTATGTTTCTTGTTTTAACCATTTCCCCCCCCCCCATCAGGTGTCTCACGCTTGTGTCTGCAGCTTGGAGAGCCGCTTGGAGTCTCTCGTACAGTCAGAGGGCCGCCTGAAGGAGCAGGTTTCTGCCCTGCAAGAGGAGAAGAAGCAGCTCGCGAGCACCGTCACACGCTTACAGGACCTGCTCACCAGCCTCGGCATTCACAACAACCCCGATGGACACACACTCCCCTCACCCTCTGAAAGACACACAACCACAGAGAATGTGGAGGGGCTGGGAAACAGAACTGTGGACTCTCTCCCTCACCCTCACCCTCTGGCTCTTCCAGAGGGCTCATAACCGCACCTCATACTTTTCCAAATGGTTAGGTTGAGCGGAGGAGGAGCCGGGTGTGGAGATGTGGAGGTGCTGAGGAGGAGAAGGTTGAGGGAGATGTTGAGACGACTCTTTACCTCCACCTTTATCCTGTTTCTAGCTTGTGAATGTTTTAATAAAAAAAGAGGAAACTCTGAGGAAGTTGGACCTAATAGAGAGTAGAGAAGAAATAGAACAAAAATGGGGATGAGGTTAAAGAGAAAGTAGAAATGAAGGATAGAAACTGTAATATTATCCCAAAACGACACGAGTGCTATATCAGCTCTCTTAAAAAAAAAAAAAAAAAAAAAAAAAGAAATGAACCTTATTATCTGACCAACAATCCCCAAAGATAGCACTGTCCCATCGGGTCTCTACTGTCCAAACTACAGTTACATTTGCACCTGGAATGTCCGTTTGTCTGTGAATGTCTCCAATGTGTGTGTTTTAGTTGCAACACGGCAAAAAAAAAAGCCAAAGAATGTCCTCCTTGTTACCAAACAAGCTCGCAAAAATACCGTGTCATTGAACACCCGCACATGTAACAATGAAAGTAATCGAAAGATTCAATGAAAGATTGGAATTCAATGTCCAAAGAAATAAAAAAAAAAAAGAGAAGCGAGCTAAAGGGACAGATGAAGAAGAGACAAAGTTTCATTTTGTTCATCTGGTAGAAGTTGAATATGACAATGATAAATGATATTAGATCTTGGTGCTTATATTCAAAGAGCAGAGGGGAACTATTTCTGATTCTCTTCAGTATTCCAAAGTTTGTAACCTTATCCTAACCGGTCTCAACCTTATGTAGCTACAGTATGTTGAAGGCAGAAAAAACACAACACCATCACCACCTTCCAGTTCGGTCCATGCTTGTAGAAAGTTGAAATGAATGTCAGTTCACCAGAAAAAGCTGTGCCCTTGTAGTGCACATCCCCACAGATCAGTTACTTTGAATAAGAACAGAAAGAAACTTAATGTCTGAAACTTCACACAGGAAACCTCTGCTGTGGAGACAATCTGTCAGCTACGAGTCATTTACTGTATTCATCACACTGAGCTCCGTCGGGCCGAGCTCCTGCTTGGTGTGTTTCCATGTTAACGTCTTTTTGTGTTGCTGTGTGCGTGTTCACAAATCTGTTGATTTACACTGTAAAGAAATGTTGCTTTTACTCCAGACTCTCATTGCACATTTTGTTTTAATTATTGTAATTCTGTACTTTAAAAATACATTTCATATCCTTTGAGCACATCAGAAGCCAGTGTTGTTGTTTTGGTTTTTTTTTCTCGCGCGTTTGCCTTCATGTGTCAGGTGTCATGTGACTGATGAGGATTGTGGATGGTGTAGATTGTACCACCTCCTGTCCAAACATGTCAGTCACTTTGAACGCCAATATTGGGTTTCAAGCATATGGAAGTTCACTGTACACAGTATTTAAAACACAGACATGCAGCTCTTTCCAGGAACTCCTCCACGGCTAGAGAGAAAGACATGTCTGGACAAAGGTGTGGCTCTGTTTGAGTGCATGTACAGTACACACAGAAATAGCAACTAGAGCAGAACCTGAGACAAAAAAAATCTATAAAAATACAGGTGAAATAAGAATTGTGTTTGAAATGATAAGTCCTCTCAGGTAATTGTCTTACAACCTTCAGAAAAATATAAAATATTTTACACATTTTCTGCCAATTTTGTACGAACATTTTGGCTTTTTTTAAAGATTCCTAAGTTGACAGGAGTTTACAATGACGTTAGAGCTTTTGTCTCCTGACTTTCCTGTTTGAGGGCCTCTGAATGAACCCACTAATCAGACAGCTGGTGATGCTGGAGCCGACTTCTTATCCGGGTGTTTTTCTGTGTGTGCACATCAGCATAAGTAACAAAAATCCTTCCCTAAAGGCGATCACAGATTATTAAGTTGGTGTCTAAAATATTTAAACGTACTATTGTTTAGTTTGTGGGTTCATTTTTTGGGTCAGATTTCAAAATTATCTTTGCCAATGACTTTGTTTTCTCACAGCTGTGTTTCAGAGGTCAATGATGGACTTAAGTAATGTGGTTCAAGGCTTGTTGTTGGCTAAGTTCATCCTTGAAGTGTCTTTGACAAACCGTATCTTCCGGTGTTGGAAAAATTAAACCGATGCAAAAGAAACTGCAGTTCATCAACGAGAGGCAGACTCCAAAAAATATATAATAAAAATAAACATGTTTACACCCTGGTTAATAAAATAACTCAGTAACTAAAACTTAATTTTTAGTGGGCCAAACTGCAGAGGTTGGCATTTTTTCTTTTTCATCCTTTTTTTACATGAACCCTGAGTTATTCATATTTGGGGGTGCGGTTAAGACGACTGAAGGAGGCTAAAGGCCCATCTCAACTCCAACTTTTTCTCCTGACGCTAGATTGATCAAAGTTTAGGTGGAAATAGAATTTCCAATATGGTGACCATCGTTTGGCCTAAAATCACCTGTTCATAAACTAACGTCCATGTTTCATACAGTTTATGGTCTCTGCTGTCGTCAGTGAATCAAAGTGCGATGCTTCTGTAGATTGGCCTAGCTCTTGGGTCGCATGCCATTTACTGTACTAAGGCTATAGTCCTCCAGTCCTCCTGCGGCCTAGTCAGACCTGGGGTCTCCTATCATTCCTCACTCCATATCCCTATATGCTGCTTTATTAACTGTCCTAATGGAGGCAAGAAGCCAACAAATAAATATAATAAAAGCAAAATGCTGGTAAGGACTACTTGTGTGATAGCTCCCAGACAGCTGATGAAATGTTGCTCTTTAAATGACTTTTGACCTTTCCTAGACGAGATCAGACAGAAGACTCTAAGGGATCAGCAGAAGAATCCCGCTGTCATTAATCAAAGACCATAATTAATTCTTTCAGTGCCTCTGATGACTGTGCTTTAAAGACACAGCTTAAGAGTTGATCCAAAGCAAACACTCCTCCTGGACGGAGATTTCCACCGAGCAGCAACAAAGCGAGTCAGGTTCTTGAGGAGCACGCCCTCCTGAGCGATCGGCAGGTAGACTGTAGACTGATGTGAACACACCCTGAAGACCACCTGAGCCCGCCTCACCCAGGCTCCACTAATCTGCGATGATCTCTCCGGTGTTTATGTGGATTTTATTTTTAAGCCTCGTAACCCCTGACCGAGCAGCCCTGCCCATGTCGTGTGTGTGCCTGTGTTTAAAGCTCAGTTATGATGCAGGGCTGTTGTGATGTGTGTGCGTGTTTGTTTTTGTCCACACCTGCTGGATCAGAGCTCCTGATTCTAAAGAACTACAAGTTCTTGTGTGACTGTGGTTAAAACTTGGCATCTGTGGGCAGATTTTTTCTTAATTCCCTGGTAGAGTGAACAGAGAGGCAGCATGTGCACTCAAAGAATGCATTTGCGGTGTGTAAACAAAGCGCGAGTACAGTGTGCATCTGCGTGTGTTTGTGTCTCTCTGCCGGGCCGAGTAAAGTGCCAGGAGCTGTGACGTTGCCTCGAGTTTTGTTTTATTTGACTTGGCATCCATTTATCCCTCTCCACCTCAGCTCAGCCCTGCCCTGCACCGCGCTCCACCACATGCACATATCCTCCTACAACCCCGACAAACCACACTCTGAGAGGGCCAGAGAGAGAGAGCTTTTCAATCTGTAAACGTTTGTAATATGTAGATTTAGAGACATTGAAGGCTCTAAAACTACCGAAGTCCTAAAACTGAATTTGTGATTAGTGGGAGTCTGCTGCTCCAAAACACAAAAGTAAATATGCAGAACAAAATCTTTGCATTTAAATGCTTGAGAATTCTGGATTAAAGCTCTTCATCTGTGTGTGTGTGTGGGAAGTAGCATTACATATGAATATTTGAATGACAGGTAAAATCTGGTAATGAATGATCAACATAACAATCTTGAAATAATTGTAGATAATAGCTTTGTTTGAGTGAAGTGTGTGGAGCTTATTAAATATCAGTTATCCCTGTGTTGTAACCCCTCTTCTTCCTCTCCCTTCTTCACCACCTCCTCTGTCTCTGTCTCTTGTCTATCTTGTCATGTGGGCGGCTGGGGGCGGCTGCAGCTCAGTTGGTAGAGTCGGTCCCCCAGCTCCTGCAGCCACATGTCCGATGTGTCCTTGGTCAAGACACTAAACCCCGAGTTGCTCCCGCTGCTTTGGCGGTGGCTTATGAATGTGTAGAAATGGTTAATACTGATGGAGACTTTCCACAGCAGCCTCTGCCATCAGGGTTAGGGTGTGTAGGTGTGACTTGTGGTGTAAAAAAAAGCGCTTTGAGGAGTCAGAAGACTAGAAAAGAACTCTACAAGCTCAAGCCCATTTATCATTTCCTCTCTCTTCGTCACCACCTCCTCTGTCTCCGTCTTTCCTTCACGCTCTTGTCGTGTGTTTCTGTTCCTCCCAAAGTGGAGCTTTGATGTCTTGTCACTGCGTCTGTCTCAGTGAGGGATGTAGACACAGTTAGTAACCTTTGATATTGATGTAAATGTTGCTGATGCAATAAGAATCCTGCAATGAAAATAGATCCTCACTTTAACAGTAACTTTCCCTTTTTAAGGAAAACAAAAAAAAGATGCAAACACATATAGATGAGACCACCTTTAAATTCTGTAGTTACCGTCTCCATGTGTGGATTCAGCTGCCAACCCAAGAGAAACCTGCTCTGTGTTTGAGATAACATCTGTTATGAATTGATGACATGACAGCTCAGTATTAATCAGCACACCTTTACACACCATTGAACACCAACCTGATCCTTTTATGTGGCGTATAAAGTGATTTAGGTGGCTGTAATCATTAATGACGCTCATCATTAAAGACATTTCTTGACACATCAGGTGCTGGGATGAGAGGTGACAGCTCAGTCCAAAAGGTCAAACAGAGTCAGTAACGGCTCATAAAGCAGTAAACATTGATAAGGAAGCTACTTCACCCACAACACCTTCAGCCATAAAGAGAGCTACTGACTGCACCTGAGCTGTGACACCTTCAGTCTGACTTAAACTGGCTTTTTAATATGAACTGGAAGAAAAAAAAATGTATAACATGGATTTTGAATAAGCTTGATAAACTTGCACTTGTCCATCTGATAGCCTGAAGGTTATATCACACGCCCGACGTACGGAGGGGATAGTCCTCAAACGTTCCGGGCACGTTGCTGCATGTCATTCCCCACTCACTCATCACACTTTTACTCTTATCATCTGTTCTCCTCTTTAATAATTTATACTGACTTTATGACAGGGATTATAAATCTTTGGAACACCAGCACTGCAGATGACATATTTCATACTTTAAAAGACACAACAGGTAGACGAATCAGAAGACACTGCAGCCAGCCATTTTTTTTTTATTTCTCTTTGAAATATTTCTTTTGTTATTTTTGAATACTGTGTGCAACTGTTGCACACAGTATTCAAGCCTCTCAGGGGTCACACACGTCCTCTGCGAGTCCTCTGCAGAACTTTTTCATATTTGCACTGTAACTTAAACGACATGTTATCGTGTTGTAGTCTTTACAGCTTTGACTCAATTGTCTGTACGACAAAACGCACAATGTACTTTTCCTTGCAATCACTTTCTATGTATTTGTACTTAGTCTTCAGCAATTGGCCCGAGACGAAGTGTAGTAGCTGTTCTTATCTTATCTGATACATCCTCTAGCCGGGCACCGTATATTAAATTGATTTAAGGACCTGCAGGTGGTACAGGTCAACTCCATGCATTGACTTGGTATTGTAGTCTCTCGAGGACTCATGGCTACTGAGGACACCTTCACGTTTCTGGGATCCACAAACTTTGGGACCTGAAGTGAGCCTCCCACAAACACACTATCAGGAAAACCGTCCACAGGGGATGTAGTTCCTGCGCCAGCTCGGGATGTTCAGAGTCCCTCAGGAGCTGCTGATCATGTTTTACACCGCCAAATTCCAATCTATTTGCTGGATGTCCATCACTGTTCGGTTTGCCACCAAACAGGAGAGACATGAAAAAAGAAACGGACACACCCCGGACACACAACTGTTTGAACTCCCCTCTGGTAGGCGGTACAGAGCACAGTCCACCAAAAGAAACCAGACACAAGAGCAGTTTCTTTCCACAGAAGTGTATAAATAACCCTGCAGCATAAACATCCACAGGGCCGTAAATAAGATTTTTTATATTGACTCATGTAAATTACATCCCCTCATCCGTCTTCATACCATGCAGGCTGTTTTTAACGTATAAACCATAGACTCAATATAAACA